AGGTAAGTAAGAGTAAACACTGTAGATGAACTGGCATATGACCACATAAAGTAGGGATAGGGGTAAGCCAATTAGCTCTATGAGAGCATTCACAATTTAAAGTATAAACCCAGAAACTACAGACCAATGAATTTAACCTTGCTGGTGGGAAAACATTTACAAAGGATAATCCAGGATAAAATTAACAGTCACTTTGACAAATTAACAAATTTCCCAGCATAAGGATGTAAAAGAGAAATTGTGCTGAACTTTGCCACACTTCACTGGGGTAGTACACTGAAAATTCAGCTCCACTATTCCCAGAATCATCACAGAAGTTAACCGTTTTAAAAAGTATACGAAGACCTGATTTTTAGACCCAGGTTGACAGAAAATACACACCAGGTCTCTTAACTTAACAAAAATTATTATTTATTACACGTAATTAGACTCTAGCTATAGGTAAACAGTCATGAACTGCCGACACATGACTCTACTAATTAAAACTCTAATCTGCTTATAAACTCCCTATTAGACATGTTATGGATAGGGGAAAGACTGGGAAGGCCGTTCAGCAGTTCTTGTTTACATTGTTGCTGGGATTCTTGTGCTGGTCAGAACACTGCTTCTCAAACTTCCTTCTCAAAGGCTTTCACTGGTTTATAAGAAGCAAAAGATAGTTGATAAACTTGTGAAAAGTCTCTGACTTATTAATTAAAGTCACAGCGTACAGAAAAATTAGTTGGTTTCCTTCAAGCTTAATATGACTTCCATTGCAGAGAACAGAACCAACTATTGAGCTGGAGATCTTTTCTTTGTCTCTATTCATTTACAGGATGAGGGTGGCACTGGCTAGGCAACATTTATTGCCCATCCCTAATTGCCCAGAGGGCAGTTGAGAGTCAACCACATTGCTGTGGGTCTGGACTCACATGTAGGCCAGGTTGGGTAAGGATGGCAGTTTCCTTCCCTAAAGAACATTAGTGAACCAGATGGGTTTTTCTGACAATCGACAATGGATTCATGGTCATCATTAGACTCTTAATTCCAAATGTTTATTGAATTCAAATTCCACCGTCTGCCATGGCAGGATTCGAACACCGGTGCCCAGAATGTTATCTAGGTCTTGGGATTAATAGTCTAGCAATAATACTACTAGGCTATCACCTCCCCTCTGAGATGTTTCTGCATCTTGTTCCCAGTTTCAAGCTGTTCAACTACCTCTGAGCCAATCACATAGTTCCTGGTAAACAGAAAATCTTTGTCATCGATAGCTGGTCACTAGTTCACTGACAATCAGTTACTTGCGCCAACCAAAGCTCCATCGGTATACAACCCCTCAGCTCCAGTTAGTCTGCAACCACACTTCACACTGCTCAAACAAGCAGAAATCCTTCAGCCTTCCAACACTTTTGAAACAGTTCTTTTCTCATTTCAGTCCACAATTAGAAATACAGGAAAAACAGAAGACACGATTTCTACAAACTAATCTGAGTTTTTGTGATGAGGTACCAGAGAGAGTTGGTAAGAATGATGTGGTTGGTGTAGTCTATAGGGACTTCTAAAAACTATTTGATGAAGTCTCACATAAGGGGCTTGCCATAAAGGTTGAAGCCCATGGAATTAAAGAGACAGTGGCAATCACATATGAATTTGGCAAAGTGACAGGAAATAACAGTAGTGATAAACAAATATTTTTTGGAATAAAGTGAAATTCCTCTGGCGATAGTAACTGAACCACTGCTTTTCTTAATAAAAATCAGTCATCTAGATCTTTTTGTGCAGGGCACAAAACTTGTAACCCGTTGTGAATTGTGAGGATAATAGTAGATTTCAAGAGGACACAGATAGACTATTGGAATGCGTGCACAAGTGGCATGCAGAAAAGTGTGGTGATACTTAGTGGTAGAAAGAACAAGGAAAGACAACATCAACTAAATGTGTGGAGTGGCCTGAGAGTATATGTGCATATATCATTGAAGGCGGCAAGGCAGATTGAAAAAGTTAAAAAGATTACAAGTACCTGAATTTTAGAACCAGTTGCATGGAGTGCAAAAGCATGAAAGTCATGATGAGCCTTAATAAAACACTGGCTTGGCCTCAACTAGGTATTGCGTCCTGTTCAGGGCACCACACTTTAGCAAGGATGTGAAAGTTTTAAAGAAGGTGCAAGAAGATTTATTAGAATGGTTCTTGGGATCGTGGACATCAGTGACTAGAATAGAATGTTGAAGTTTGGGCTATTCTCCTTACAGCAGAGAAGGTTGAGTGGTGTTCAAAATCATGAAGTTCTCAACCAATGTTTCTTCTAAAATTTCCTGCCTCTGCATGGACTTTGGAGGTCCTTACATGACAGCAACTTCCAGAACCATAAATCAATGCATCCACATGCCAAATGGCATGCCTGAATGCTCTACGTGAAGTAGCTAAGAGGGAACATTGGTCTCAACAGTGCATAGAGAGAAATTATTTCCACTGGAGCTTGAGAAATATTAACATCAGCTATGGTGGACAGTCTGTCATGGACCTCAATGAAGAAAGCACTATGTCAGAAAATTAGAAACTTCAGTCCAGGAGTTTTGCATGTTTAAAGTACAACTTTATAAAAGTGATTTTATTAAAAATAAAGGGGGACACAGATCCAAAATGGATTATTTAATTTAACAAGACTCCATCAACCATCTATTTTACAACCCGACCCATTTTATTCTCACACATTAACGCAAAACAAACTGGCCTCCGTTCTGCTGTAACATTATTCCTACTTCATCCATCTGGGTGATCTAGTTATTTAATAGAATACATCTATATGCAAAATTCAGAATTACAATTGGTCCTACTATTTGTGAACCCTTCAAATTTTCTCACAGAAAAGGTACAGTTTTCACTTTCCTCATTTTAATCATGACTTTTGATGATATTCACACAAGAGTTTACCTATTATTACTGTACCTTCAATACGGTGATATTCCATGCAAAATTTTCCAGTGCTTTACTTATCTTGGCTCCCTTCAAACCCTCCTTTTTTGCTAAATGGTGTACTCCCCTATGAAATTCAAGTCCTGTTCAAGAGATTCAATCATACAAATACACGTTAGTGGTACAGGTGTTTTACTTCTTTACAACATAAACCTTAATTACTTTTATGTAATTGACAGAGACACCAGCAAAAGAACTAAAAAATTTTAATTAGAATTTCATATCATTATTATATAATAATGCATCACTAAATAATTATGGAAGGATATTTTTCTCTGTCATATATTCAAAACAAATCATTACAGTGTACATTGGATGGATAGTGTAACAAAATGCTAAGTCACAATATTGGAGGAACACCATCCCACAATCCTCATCATATCCCCTCCCCTCCCCTCTCCATGACTTCTTTTTACCCCACTAGCTATTCCTTTAAATTCTCAACGTTCGATTAGAAAATTAAAAAGAAAACTAAGGCATGGATAATTTTGACAAGGGCAAAGGACAATGTAGAGTAAAAATGATTAATGGGGAGAAAGCCAACTTCAATGGTATAAGAACAGACCTGGGTGGAATAAATTAAGAGGGAGAAATGGCAGCTGAACAATGGGGCTACCTTCAAAGAAGAAAAGATTTGGGCACAGTCAAGGTATATTCCCTCAAAATGGAAATGTGCAGCAAACAAAGCCATGGCTTCCTGGGTGACAAAAGAGACAGAAGGTAAGACAACAATGAAAAAATGTGCTTATGACAGATGTCAAATAGAAAATACAAATAAAAACCTGGTTGAATATAGAAGTTTCAGAGGGGTATGATAAAAACAAATAAGAGAATCAAAAGTGAAGTGAGTATGAGAAGAGACAAGCAGTCAATATAATAGGTAATCCCAAAGTTTAACACAGGCATATAAATATATCAGTTTGGTAAAAGGAGTAGGGCAAATTAGGAACTAAAAGGTGGATTTATGCATGGAGTCAGAGGGCAGAGTTGAGGTGTTTAATGAGTACTTTACATCTATCTTCATGAAGGAAGAAGGTGCTAGTCTACGACTAAGAGGAGGCAATTCAGACATTAGACAGGTTTCAAATAGATAAAGAGGAGGTTTTAAAAGCATGACAGAAGAGAAAGCAGAAATTGTGAAGGCCAAACCATAATCTTTCAGTCTTCCTTAGATTAGGAGGTACTGCCAGAGGACTAGAGAATTGCAAACATTACAACCTTGTTTAAACCTTGTGTACAGAAATATAGAAAGTTGGAGCAAGAGTAGGTCTTTTGACCCTTCAATATGATCATGGCTGATCATCCAACTCAGTATACTCTTCCTGCTTACTCTGCATACCTCTTGATGACTTTAGCCCTAACAACTGCATCCAACTCCTTTTTGTAAACATTCAATGCTTTGGCCTGAATCACTTTCTGTGGCAGAGAATTCCATAGGCTCTGGGTGAAGAAATTTTTCCTCATCCCTCCTGCATTTACCTTGTCTAGTCATGTTAAAATTTTACAGGTTTTTGTGAGATCTCAAAACTCTAGCGGATATTGGCCTAATTGATCCAGTCTCTCTTTGTACATCAGTCCTGCCAACCCAGGAATCAATCTCTGTTGCACTCTCTCCATTGCCAGAAATTCTTTCTCACATTAGAAGACCAAAATGGCATACAATATTCCAAGATATTGTACAATTGCAGCAAGACATCCCTGCTCCTGTACTCAAATCCACTCATTATGAAGGCCAACATACCACTTGTGTTCTTCACCTGCCTGCTGTACCTGCATGCTTACTTTCAATGTGCTACTACTACATGTTTTGTTGCACCTCCCCCTTTCCTAATCTAACCTCACATTTATCCAAATTTTACTTCATCTGCCATGCATTTCCCAACTCACTCAACTTGTCCAAATTACATTTAAGTATCTCTGCATCCTCTTCACAGCTCACCCTCCCACCCAGCTTTGTGTTGTCTGCAAACGTGGAAATATTACATTTAGTTCCCTCATCTAAATCACTAATATATATTGTAAATAGCTGGTGTCCTAGCACTAATCCCTGCAGGATCCCATTTATCATTGCCTGCCACTCAGAAAAAGATTTGTTTATTCCTATGCCATGTTTCCTATCTGCCAACCAATTCTCTATTCACATCAATACAGTACCCCTAATCCCATGCACTTTGATTTTACACACTGATCTCCTATGTGGGAATTTATTGAAAGCCTGCTGAAAGTCAAACTGAACCATATCCACAGGCTCCCCTTATCAACTTTACCTGCTACATCCTTGAAGATTTCTAGTAGATTTGTCAAGCATGATTTTCCTTTCATTAATCCATTTTGACTCTGTCCAATGCTGCATGAGGGATGCAATGGCTCTGATTGCCCAAAGCTGCAGCATTACAGCAACTATATAAGGAGTTGGTTAGTTTGGGTTGAATTCCTGCTCCTGTTTTTCAATCTCTCCCCTCACATGACATATGGTGACCCTCAGGTTAAACTACTACCAGCAATCTCTCTCTCTAAAGAGAGAGTAGGATAATGGTGACTTTTATCTTAATTATGCCAAACACCAGCAGATACAAGTTTAGCTAGTCCAACCTGTCCTCATAAAACAAATTGCCAATTCCAGAAATCAATCTAGTAAATCTTCTCTAAATTGTTTCCAATTCATGTACATACTTCCTTAAATAAGGAAACCGATATTATATGCTGGTAAATCAATATACAGTTTTTCAAATGGTCTCACCGGTGCCTTATATAACTAAGGTCAGAAATCACACGACACTGGGTTATAGTCCAACAGGTTTATTTGAAAACACAAGCTGTCAGAGACCCAATCCTTCTTCGGGTGTTAGTGAGAGAGGTAGTATCAGACACAGAATTTATAAAAGGATCAAAGGTTCACACCATTGATGAGGATGTACTAAACAAACCCAAGGTGCTGTTAAATCTTTAATCCGTTAGAAGGTTTTAATTGATTAATATGTATATGTAAATCCCCAAATTCCTTTCAAATTCTGGTCCTGAGAGAACTAAAGGTTTTATCAGTGTAAAGAAGAGGTGACATTTTAGGTCAGTCAATGCATGTTAGGTGTGAAAACTTGTTTAGAATCTGTTTGTGTTTTAGTTTGAGTCAAACTGGTTTTATTTCTAAAATAGGAATTTATAAAATGCCCATTGACTGACTATCTATAAATTGTGTGCTTTTTGAACAAAATAAAATATCTGCAAATACGAATTCACCCCATAGATTCACGTGTGTGTGTGTGTGTGTGTGTGTGTGTGTGTGTGAGTGAGTGAGTGTGTGAGACAGTGTATAGTGTGGTGGGATCACCTGTAGTGCGACATGAACCCAAGATCCCGGTTGAGGCTGTCCTCATGGGTAGTGACAACCACCAAACCTTAAACAGACCATTATTCGCAGCAAACTACCCAGCCTTCAGGACAACGTCAACCACAACAGTATACAACCCTGTCATGGTTACGCTGCAAGCAAGGATGCCCCAAGGCATGGTACATTGGTGAAACCATGCAGACGCTATGACAACGGATGAATGGGCACCGCACAACAATCGCCAGAAAGGAATGTTCCCTCCCAGTGGGGGAGCACTTCCACGGTCAAGGACATCTGGCCTTGGATCTTGGGGTAAATGTCCTCTAAGGCGGACTTCAGGAGACACAACAACGCAGAGTCGCCGAGCAGAGGCTGATAGCCAAGTACGGTACCCATGAGGATGGCTTTAATCAGGATCTTGGGTTCATGTTGTACTACAGGTGACCCCACCAATTATACACTCTCACACATGCATACATACACACACTCACTCACACAAACACACTCACATACACACACACACCCCCACACACTCACACATGTGCACACTCTCTCACCACCCCCCCACACACACACTCCCTCCTCGCCTCACACACACACTCTCTCTTCCCACCTCACACATAATCTCTTCCCCCCACCCCCACACACACTCTCTCTACCCCCCTCACACACACACATCCACACATACACACACACACACACACATCCACACATACACACACACACACACACACTCTCCACCCCCCCTACATACAAACACACTCTCTACCCCCCTCACACACAAACTCTCTTCCCACCCCACACATGCACACACTCTCTCCACCCCCTCACACACACAGACACACACACTCTCTCTCCCCCGACTTACTCACACACAATCTCTCCACTGCCCGCCCAAACACACACACACACGTGAATCTATGGGGTGAGTTTGTATTTGCAGATACATTTTATTTTGTTCAAAAAGCACACAATTTATAGATAGTCAGTCAATATGGTGTTTTATAAATTCCTATTTTAGAAATAAAACCAGTGTGACTCCAAACTAAAACACAAACAGATTCTAAACAAGCTCTCACACCTAACATGCATTGTCTGACCTAAAATGTCACCTCTTCTTTACACTGATAAAACCTTCAGTTCTCTCAGGACCGTGACTTGAAAGGAATTTGGGGATTTACATATACATATTAATCAATTAAAACCTTCTAACTGACTAAAGATTTAACAGCATCTTAGGTTTGTTTAGTACATCCTCATCAATGGTGTCAACCTTTGATCCTTTTCGTATAAATTCTGTGTCTGATACTACCTCTCACTAACACCTGAAGGAGGACTGAGGCTCCGAAAGCTTCTTGTTTCAAATAAACCTGTTGGACTATCACACAACACAATGGAAGGAATCCTCAATGTGAAGATGGGACTTTGTCTCTGCTATGGTTGTGCAGTGGTCACTCTTACTAATAGAATCATAGAAAGATGCTTGGTATCATGTGATTTCTCACCTTGTCTACCCTAGTCCATCACCGGCACCTCCACATCATGGCTATATAAAAAAGCATAGCTTCTCTATTTTTGTATTCAATTTCCCTTGCAATAGCTAATAGCATTTGATTAGCTTTCCTAATTATTTGCCGTACTTGCAAATTTTGCAATTCATGCACGAGGACAATGATGAGGGCAATGGAGTTGATGTGCTGTACATTCCAAAAGGCCGCACATCAGACTTATGGGCACAGTTATTGTGAATAAAATTTAAAAAGACAGCAGTAATGTGGATACGTAATTGGCTGAACTGCTGCAAACGAAGGGTAGTGATTAATGGACTTTTTTTTGGGCAGGAGGCAAGTGTGTAGCAGAGTTCTCCAAGGATCAAAGTCAGCACCCTTGCTTTTCCTGATATATATTATGATCTAGACATTGGTGTACAGGGCAAAATTTTGAAGCTTGTGATGAGATGAAACAGTTGGGGCACAGGTGCAGAGAAATCTGTGCATACAATTACCTAAGGCTTTGAAGGTGGTAGGATAGGTTGACAGAATTGTTAAGAATATAACAGCAGGAGCATGCCATTCAATCTGGCAAGCCTGCTCCACCATTCAATTAGGTCATCTGCCTCAATGCAGGCTTTCCAGCACTATCTTCATATCCCTTGGTTGAAGACTGGTGTCTGTGATGCTGGGTTGCTGTGATTCAGGAGGAGGCCAAGATGGATCATCAACTCAGAATGTCTGGCTGAAGATGAATGGAAATATTTCCACCTTTTCTTTTGCACTAATGTGCCATCGTTGAGGATGGGAATATTTGTAGACCCTCCACCTTTAACTGTTCATCACTTTTCGCAATCAGATGTGCCAGGGCTGCAGAGCTCAAATCTGGTCAGTTGGCAATAAGACTGCTTAGCCTTGTCTACTGCAAGCTCTTTTGCTGTTTGGCATGCAAGTAGTCCTGTGCTGTACCTTCACCAGGTTAACACCTCATTATTAAACATGCATGGCACTATTCCTGGCATGTACTCCCAAATAGTTTATGAACCAGGGGTGGTCTCCTGTCTTGATGGGAATGGTAGAGTGAGAATATATTCTAGGTGATGAGGTTACAGTTTGTGGCGAAATACAAGTCTGCTGCAGCTGATAGCCCACAGCATCTCATGCAAGCCCAGGTATTAGCTGCTAGATCTGTTCAAAGTCCATCAATCTAGCATCACACGACACAATGGAAGGTATCCTCAATGTGAAGATGGGACTTTGTCTCTGCTATGGTTATGCAGTGGTCACTCTTAGTAATAGCATCATAGAAAGATGAACTTTCAAAAGGTAAGGATGAGGTCAAGTGGATTTTCCTCCTCTGTTGGCTCCCTCTCTATCTGCTGCTGACCCATTCTAACAGCTATGGCCTTTGGTACTTGTCCAACCCAATCAGTAGTGGTGCTATTGAGCTACTCCTGGTGAAAGAAAATGTAGTCCCCTACCCAGATTATACTCCGTGCTCTTGCCACTCTTTGTGCTTCCTCGAAGTGGTATCAAACATGCAGAAGTACTGATTCAGCAACTGAGGGAAGGCAGGGCAGAAGGTGCTAATAAGAAGGAGGTTTCCTTCCTAGGTTTGACCAGATGTCATGAGATTCCATGGTATCCTGAATCTGAGGGCAATTCTCTCCTGATTGTACAGCATGCTGCCACCTCCACTGGCTCTGTCTTGACAGTAGGCAGGGCATGCCTAGGGATGGCGAAGCTGGTATCTGGGACATTGTCATACTCGTCTGATCATACCTTTCGGACAATGCTAGGCTGTTGTTTGACTAGTCTGTGGAACAGCTTGCTCACTTTGACACAACCTCCAGATGCTGGTAAGGAAGACCTTGCAGGATCACCAGATTGTGTTTGGCATTGTTGTTTTTGGAGTCTTTGTCTTGGACTGTCTGGAAGTCACTCATTCCCCATCTGTCTCTATGCTCCTAGCCTGGCATGTGATAACATTTCTGAACATTCTCTTTATGTATCTATCACTCATCCTCATGGATGCACCTCAGTAAGGAGTCACTCCAGCCACCACTCAAATTCAGAAACTTTGAGCTCAAATTTTTGCAGCATGTGATACTTCCCGGACATGTGGTTACCTGAGTCATCAGTAAGGTCTACAACTTCCCACATACTACAGAACATGCATTCCACATGACTGAGCTGCCTCACCTTGCCTTAATTATACTTCACTTCTGTAATATTTATTTTGTTTTGGCTTGCTTATATTAGTTTTGTTTTACTTGGCCTTAATTTAATTAACTTTAGAAACACACTATTGATAAATCTTACCAGTGCTGATAAATGCAACCAATATTTTACACATGTTGTACGTGTTACTAGTTGAATTAAACCTTAATTAAAACAGTTCTTTCCCTCACGTACTGAATTCCCAAATGAATCCAAATAGCTACTCATTTGGTGTACATCTCACCGAGGCATGTTTCTGAACATGCACCCTTTACTCATACTGTATCCTACGATTTATTAACAGACTATAGAATCACTACGTTGAACCTGCACAAGACACTGGTTTGGATTCAATTAGCGTTTTGCATCTAGTTCTGTGTGCTTCACTTTAAAACAAGAATATGAAAATATTAGAGAGATACAGAACAGATTCACCAGAATAGTTCTAGGGAATGAAGAACATAATTCACAGAGGGAGGTTGGAAAAGTTAGGACAATTTTCATTGGAGAATGGAATACTGAGAGGAGATTTAACAGAGATATTCAAAATCATGATGGTCTGCAAAGACTACATAGGGAGAAACTGTTCGCAATCCAGAATGAGGAAAGGGACATGAATTTAAAGCAATTGTTAAAAGAAACAAAAGCGAAATGAGGGAAATCTTTTGCATACAGCAAGTGTTATGGTCTGAATGTACTGCTTGAGGCTCTGCTGGATGCAGGTTCACTGAAAGGAAGAATGTGCAGGAGTATGGGAAGGAGGTGTGAGAATGGGACAAAATGGATTGCTCAGCTGGAAAGCTGATAAAGACACAATGAGTCAAATGGCTACCTTCTGCAACAATTCTTTCATCCTGTTATCATTTCTAAGTAACTCAATGAATATTGCTCAAACACAATTCTTTTAGGAACAGTGGACTTCCATTATCTGGCATTCAGGATATCCCCTTGTACCTGGAGAAGTGGGCAGAATATAGGTATTGTGGTTCATGTGGGAACCCACGACACAGGCAGAACTAAGGGAGAATGAGCAGATTGGTTCGAACTAACAAAAACAATAACCTCAAAGAAGGATTTACACCCACTGAGCCCCAGGCTGGAAAGGACCCTTCAGTAATGGTAATTAAGGTCTTTATCCACATGCACAAGCAGGAACAGGGGTGAAAGACAAGTATGTGAGATGCAATGGCCCTCATTGCCCAAAAGCTGCAGCACTGCACCGAATTATGTGGAGATTGGTTAGGTCAGTTGGCTGGATGGTCGGTTTGCGATGCAGAGTGATGCCAACAGTGAGAATTTAATTCCTGCACCAGCTGAGGTTACCATGGAAGTCTCTCCTTCTCAACCTCTTCCCTCACCTGACGTGACCCTCAGGTTAAACCATTGCCAGTAGTCTCTCCCTCTCTAATGAGAGAGCAGCCCTGTGGTTCAGTAGGACAATGGTAGCTAGAAGCCAGGGTGCTCTGATTGTGGATGAACACACCTTCCACATGACCTACTTCCTATTCATGCTTTGACATGTCACTTCTCCCCACTTTTTCCAGGTATTGTTGCCTCCTTCCCAATTGTAATCATGCTCTTCCAACCAGCCTGCTGGTTCCAGTCTTGAAAACTAATTTGCTGAGTCTCATTCCCACAGCAACAGCCTTCCTTACCCACTGCTTAACACTCTCCTTCCCCTTCATTTCTGTGGATGGAACTGATAGATTGACCATAGCCCACACTTTTGACAAAGCCAACCGGACAACTCCAATGTGAACTGTCCAGACCCCTGAATGGTGTTTGAATATTTCTTAATTTAGGAGTCAGCCCTAATCCCTGACTGGCCACTATGAAGTCACAGGACTGACTGTGACACACTCATGGACTCCCCTGAATGGATGCCTGACCGTGGCCGATCCCCTGGACCAGTATGAGAGGGTGCCTGCTTTCTGATTCCTATCTCCAAGTTGAAATTCTGGCCCTAGGACTGGACAGCTGATAACAAAGCTCTACCACTGGGGATGAGCTGGAAACAAGAATCGAAGGGGAGTAGATTTCTCAGCGAGTTGTAACCTTGGAGGACATTAGAGAGTTAGGAAGGATTTTGAAACATGGATCAGTATTTTAAAACTGAAACACCTCCAATGTAGGTAAATGAGCAGAGGTGAATGGTGAACAGGATTTGGTGTGAATTATGTTATGGGCAGCAGAGTTTTGAATGAGTTTAAGTTTACAGAGAGTTCAAGGAAGGTCTGTATTAAAAATAGACAGTATCTTGAAAAACATACATTTATAAATATGTTCAATAGTATGAAATTGCAAGTTACATTTTGGAACGTGTGACTCTCAAAACATTCATCTACCTGACTTCCAACACTGCATGATCTTGTCATATAAAGTATCAGCAACGTCAATCAGGTACCTTGCTTCATGTATTACCTGTGAACAAAATATAAATGAATGAAAAACACAAATGGAGAGCAATGCAGTTCATTCCTAACAGCAGTAGTTTGTTAGTAAATGTAATTGCTCAAGTACTTGCAACTTAAGAAATGCCCCTCAGTGAGAAACAGAAACTTACCATTATCCAAAGCCTAATTGCCATTGCAGTCTTTACAGTTTATTTTGTGCTGCATTGTTTACTTGAAAAGTTTGTTAACACTTGATATTATATTCAGAAATCTCTCATCCCACCAATCTTTCAATGTCTAAGGAACTAATTGAGTTTAAAACATACAGCTCAGTCTGCTAAAGCCATCTTAAATGAACATATTTTCAACACAATGCTTATAAAAGTGGGAATAAACAACTATTTCTGACTTCCTACCAACATCCACACTTGCAATAAAATACACAGTTCAAATCACATCTGCAATAGTTATTACTGTTGGAAGAAACTTTGGACTGAGCTTTTATGAAGGACTTAAGAGCTCTCACCTTAACCAAATAGTGCTGAAGCCCTGAATCCAAGAACCTTGGATCTGAGCCCAGCATCATTATTTCCAGGGAATGGAAAGGGAAAGTGGGAGGTGCTTCACATCGTCAGTTCATGGCACCAGCCACCATACCTTTAGTCAAAAGCAACTTGATCACCCAATTTTTTGAAATATGACCTGTTAGCTTAAAAATTTAACGAAAGGTTCTTTGGAGAAATAAGGTACACCCCTTGAGAATCAATTCCCATTGTGAGAGATCAGGTACCCTTTAGGAAAAAATCAGTTCCCGTTTGGGATGTTAAGAATAGACATAAATATGCATAAAATTGTAGATCTTTAGAACTGTCGAGCTGTCAAGTCATTTGACAGTTCAAGTCCTTTTGGGGAACGTTGCCAGGTCCTGAAAATTTTGAGAAGGCAGCAGGCAGCCATTTGCCTGCTTTCATAACCTGACATCATTACTGTGTGACAGCAAGATACAGTACAGTGTAGAATTGGAGGAACACAGCAGGCCGGGCAGCATGAGAGGAGCAGGAAAGTTGGCATTTCAGGTCGGGACCCTTCACCATTACTGTGTCTGCGTCTGTGTGTGTGTGTTGGGAAGAGGTGGAGGTGGTGGTAGCCAGGGGTCATTTAAGTTTACAGTTTGACTGAGAAATCAAAAGGATTCTAAAGGGATTAGCTGTGGGATGTGGGATCTCATTTGATGCGGTACTACAAATACAATGTTTGCTTTACAAGATAATAAGATAATAAGTACTTAAGTACTGCTTTTATAATAAATTAGTACTTATGGGGAATTAAATGTACTGAATAATCTTATCAATAAGAAAATTGTTTAATATACTGAGATCTGTAGAAAAAATACTTGGAACTTCAGTTTTTTTTTATCCCAATGTAATGCCTGAGGTATGCCCTTGGTACATGCTGGATAAGTTAGTATGTAAGATATAACAGCAAAGGGTGGTAGATGGGGTGTCATGCATTGGCATCAGTTGGCAACAAGTTGATATACGGGCTATAAATGACAATTAGGGTTGAGGAGGGGGCATGGGTACAAGGTGGCACTAAGTTAGCGTAGAGACTATAAAGGGCTACGGGGATGAGCAGGTGCCATAGGTTGGCATGAGTTGGCACAAAGTTGGCATGGTGGGTATGTGAACCCACAAGGTGAGTAGAGGGGCATTAGGGTGGCATGGAAAGATAAGGAGGTGGGGGTAGATAGACCGAAGGGGTCGAAGTATTTGTTTTCCAAGGCCTTTCTGTTGCGGTTTTCTCAAAAGCTACTTGTTAGATTTTTGGGCACTATTTTTGATTTTCAGGGGCCCATTTTCCATTGTCATCAATTCTTTTATTAGGTGATGCAGTTACATAGTGACAATGCCCTTTGTATCGGTAACAACGAATGGTGCATTTGGACTAAGCACAGAACCAGAATTCATCAAAATCATCCATAATCATCAATCCTCCTTTAAACTTAAAGTCACAATGCACGAAGAAAGTGTTAATTTCCTTTCCACCCACTAATACAGTTCTATGCATAACAAAAACCATCAGCATCAACATACTGTTAGTGGGTTCCCAATTCATATATGCAAAGCTAGAACAGTTAACAATGTAACTTCTAATCTTTTTACTGCATCTAATATCTCAATCTCCAATTTAATCTGAAGAACTAACGCAATGTTAATTACAGTAACAACTACTATACGTTTCCCCATATAATACACCCTGAACCTATGCAGGCTTAAACTAGAGATGCTACCAACGTCTAAAAGGACTTCATTATTTCCGAGCTTTCGAGTCTTCCTGGTGCACAGTGTATTGCTTTATTGATGGATTTAACACTGTTCTCTCCACTCTGCCTTCTCCAACACCACTAATTTACAGCTTTCCTCTCCTCTCTCCTTTCACAACCTTCTTCTTCACCCTCCCTTTGCAGCTTGCAATCCCTCCTTTGCAGCCTCTTTCTCCCTTCCTTGTCACGTTCTTCTCCACCTCACTTTGCAGCAAACTTCTCTCCTTGCCATTTGTAGCCTCCTTTGCTCTCTTCTCTTTGCAGGCTCCATTCCTGACCTGACCGTGCCATCTGGCAACAGCAGTTCTCTATCCTCTGGGGAAAGGCCCTGGCAATGGCACTGATCTGCCTTCTCCTGTTGCCCTGGCAACAGCATCACACTTCTCCATCTCTGGCCTTGACTGGCTCTCCATTGCCACACACCTTGCAGTTCTTCAAATCAGAAGACGTTTCTCTCCCGTGCTTGACAGAAGAAGCTTATGATTGATAGAACTGCTCCTCACAGATTCTGTCAGGTCCATGTAACAGGGCAGCTTTTGTCTGATTGGTTGCTCCCAAAATTGAGATTTCACAGACATTTTGTGGACCTTTGGAGGCAGTGTTGTTCTAGAATGTATTCTGAGTGCTGATAGAAATGAATAGCTTGGCATGGAAGGTAAAAGGGGAGGTGACAGCCAGGGAGTGGCATGAGTTTACACGAATGAGACAGTGAAAGCATGTGAGGGTAAGTGGGTGTGAAGGATGAGATCAGAGATTTTTTTGTTTAACTGCTTTTATTGTAACTTGGGCAAAGTTCCAGAACATTGAGGTGGGGCTTTTAAACAGTCTGCCTCTGCTTCTGGAGATGATGGGCCCACCTCAAGTTAGTACCCTCACCACTGGAAGAAATATCTGAAGAAACATTCAGAACTCTTTCTCCTCAGTCATGAGTCCCTTACTCTGAAGCAAACATTTAGCCCTTTGTTGTAAATTACCTGAATTGGAACATTTTCTGAAATCAAAGCTGGGCACTGTAGATACATCAACGAGTAACAGATTGTGCATTCCCAACACAGGCAGCCATTTAAAATGGCCAGTGACAGCCATCTATGTGGTTTCATGCACATTTGCAAATGACCCTGCAACATTAACAGGAGCCTTATTTGTGTCAGTATGCCTCGTGCATGCATGTCAATGTAGCACTGGTTCAGGGATTTTAGTGCTCCCAGCATAGAGGGAAATCCTAAGAACACAAAAAAGCAAACCAAAGTCTCAGGACTATTATATCATTCTTAATTTCAGAGGCCAGCTGGACGGCTCTGAATATACAGGCACACCAACTATATGACAGGTAGCTGTAGTTTGGTTGCTTGGCATTGACTTAACAATGCAACACACCAGTTTTTCCACAAGCACTCATGGCTCCACCCAGCACTGCCATAAAAGTTTCTGGGTGAAAACCTATAATTAGTAGCAGAGCAGCAGGGTGGCTCAGTGGTTAGCACTGCTGCCTCACAACACCAGGGACCCAGGTTCAATTCCACCCTCAGGCAACTGTCTATGTGGAGTTTGCACATTCTCTCCATGTCTGTGTGGGTGTGCTCCGGTTTCCTCCCACAGTCCAAAGATGTGCAGGTTGGGTGAATTGGCCATGCTAAATTGCCCACAGGGATGTGTAGATTAGGTGGGTTATAGGGGGATGGGTCTGGGTGGGATGCTCTGAGGGTCGGTGTGGACTTGTTGGGCCGAAGGGCCTGTTTCCACACTATAGGGATTCAATTCTATGGCATCTGCACAGATATTTTAGTGCTGACAGTCACAAACACATCTCATTATGAAGTGCATTTAAAACTTTTGTTAAAGCATTATAAGTGAGAAACTGGCCCGCAATTTTATTATGCTAATCAAGGTATGAACTTCTTAATGCAATATTTAATTTGGGGAAAATAGTGTTTTTATTCATAACATGTGGATAGCAAATTGCTGCTTAAAGTGTGTGGGAATATTGCTCACATAACTAAATTCAGAGAAAATAAGGCCAAGTTTTCAGAATTCCAATACTGTTCCACATGCATAAATACTTGAAAAAAGATACTTAATCCTTTTCATGCTCAGTGAAAAAGAAAATCCTTTGAAGTCCTCATTTTAGTCTGTGAAATATAACTGAACTGTTCTGACCTGTGCAACATAATTGCATTGTCTTGGCCTGGCACAGTTTACATTCAAGGAAGCAAATATGTAATAATGATATAAGACTATACTACCATGAGATACAGGAACAAAATTAGGCCATTTTGCCCATCAAGTCTGCTCTGCCATTCGATCATGGCTGTTTTGTTTCTCATCTGCATTCTCTTGCCTTCTCTCCCTAACCCTTGATCCCCTTACCAATCAAGAACCTATGTATTTCTACATTAAATACACTCAATAACTTGGGCTCCACAGCCCTCTGTGGCAATGAGTTCCACAGATTCATCACCCTTGCCTGAAGAAACTCCCCCTCATCTCAGTGCTAAAGGGTCCCCATTTCAGTCTGAGGTCTAAGTCCCGGGGTCCTAGTCTTTCCTACTAGTGGAAACATCTTGTCCAGGTCCAGTCTACCCAGGCTACTCAATGTTCTCCCTCAATCTTCTAAACTCTATCAAGTACAGACCCAGAGTCACCAACTGTTCCTCATATGACAGGGCCTCCCCAGGATCGTTCTTGTAAAACTCCTCTGAATCCCCT